ATGGCAAGAAATAGTGATCTTGGGCTTCTACTTAGCCAAACATATTTTTCCTAATCAGATTATGTTTAATTGTTCTGGTTTCTTTTTCAAACAGGTTTTAGATCAGGATATTCCCAAAGAAGATCCAGTGAACTTTTGTTTTTTAGTGAAGTTTTACCCTGAGAAAGTTGAAGAGGAGCTTCTGCAAGAGATCACCCAACACCTCTTCTTTCTGCAGGTCAGAAGGTATTTCTTTTATTCAGAATTGGTTTGAGATGTCATGGTTGTCTTTTGAACATCACCATTGTGTTTAAGCATCTGTGATCATCCTCTTCCTTGAGGTACACCTTAGGCTAGTGCCAACTTTAGCATCTTAGGAATGGTTGAGAGTAAACGGGCCTTTAGTGGGTTCTCCTCTCAGTTTTGGGCTTGTTACTCCTTAGCCTTTTTTTAAAATTGATCATTCATTTGCCATTTCTCTCTGGGCCCAATCCACCAAGAAGAAGAATACCGAAAGAGAATGAGGGATGCTGTTCCCTTGCTTCATTCTCGCAGGCCCATAAAGACTCAGTGAGCAGTAAAGCTGTGCAGAACCAAGAAGCCTTGGGAATTGACATTAATCCCTTTGCTGAATTATACATCATGTCTGATTTTCCACAGCCCTGACTTCTGATCTCAGTCTTGTTTTCTGTTTTTTTTAGAGAGTTGCATAGTTTGCAAGCCCCTTTCCCCTGTATTAATTGTTGCTCATAGATCTTCTTCCAAGTCAGGATTCAAAAATATGATTAAATGACCTTTATGTCATTTCAAAACCCACCATTGTAATTGTATCAATTTTGTCTTAAGAGGAATACTTTAGGATATTTTCAAATATATTTTTTATTCCATGTGGCAATATTTCAGTCAATTTAAATGTCTTTGTGGGTTTGTGTGTCATTGCCCAAAGAAAAAAACACTTTTACCCAATTCTGGGTAATTTACCTATCTTTAGGAAGCACTGTTATAAAGTATAATTACTTTTAGTTTAGGAAGGGTGGTGTTCCTTAATTTGTAGGAAATCAGGAAACATTGTAAAGGTAAAGGTTTCCCTTGTCCAGTCATGTCCAATTCTAGGGAGTGGGTGACCCTCTCCGTTTCTTAGCCGATGTTGTCCGAAGACATTTCCATGGTCATGTGGCCAGCATGACTATATACCAGTGGTGACGAACCTATGGCACGGGTGCCAGAGGCGGCACTCGGAGCCCTCTCTGTGGGCACACATGCCGTTGCCCCAGCCTCACCTCCCCCCATGACCCCCTCCTCTCCAGCAACCCCCCTAAAGGAGAGTCGCCCCTGAGTGTGGCCCACACGGAGCAGTGCAGCCAAGGACATGGCAGCCAGGCAGCATAGACAAGACTCTGCCCTCACACCCCATCGTGCACAGTTGATGCTGCAGGGCGCGGGCAGAGAGTGTGACCGCCATAGCACTGCTGGGCTGCCTGGGTGATCTGCGGCGGGCCCTGGAGGCGGTGAGTGGCCCTGCGGGCAGGCAGGGTGGAGGATGGGGGCAGAGCAGGGGCGGGGCAGGGGGGTGGAGCGGGGGTGGGGCCAGTTTTTGGGCCACTCGGTCTCTAAAAGGTTCGCTATCACTGCTATATACCAAGGTGCATGAAATGCTTTTACCTTCCCATCAAAATGGTACCTATTTATCTATTTGCATTTGCAAGCTTTTAAACTGCTAGATAGGCAGGAGCTGGGACAAGTAATGGGAACTCATCCTGTCACACGGTTCTTGGGTTTCAAACCTGGGCTGTCAGCTTTCCAGCTGACAAGCTCGGCATCTTCTTCTGCCAAATAGGAATGTACTCTATGCATTATATTTCTACCTTGGTTCCTTTTCGCTCCAAGTAGCTTAATATACTTCTTTCAGAAGTTCTGCCCTTTTGGAAAAGTCTCACAATTTATATGTCTAAAAGAGGATTATAGCTAAAGGCCAAATGAGAGACTGTAGTCTATTTTAAAACACTAAAACAGCCATAGAACCACCACCAGCCCTGACAATCAAGAGACATCAGTACTTTTTCACTTGTATGCGTGTGTGTAACTCAGTTCAACTTTCTACCCTGCCTTTTATGCTAGTCCTCCAAACAATTATAGAGAAGTAGATGGGAGGTATCAGAATATATCCTACAATCATAAGGGAATCAAAATGTGATTTCTGATCAAGAGATGGGCTGGGGAATTCTAGAAATTGAAGTCCACACATTGTAAAGTTGCTAAGATTGAGAAATGCTGCTTATATGAGATGAAGGTGTATGCTTCTGATGAAAGAGATTCTGGCATTCAACTCCTACCCCCAACTTTAAATTGTTTTAACAACTCTCCCCTTTTAAACAATCACCTGACTCTGCTGCAACCAATATGAAAAACTTTAAATTATGTCCTGTCAAAATCAAAACTTTTAAGTGAAATCATATAATGTGGGTAATAACTGTTCTTAAACACATGTTTGAGCAGCTCCACATTATTCTCCACTTACAAGTACACTTGATGTAATTTGAAGCTATAAGGATACTGTTTGCCAAAAGCTGGGCAAGGGACTCCTTGACTTTTGTTAAAGTTGCATCTCTTGCCTTTATTTGCCAGCCTGTGGAAGTGTGAAAATGTCATGCAGGTGTTAGGGGAAGGCTGTGTGCAGTGTGGGTGGGCAAGGTGACCTGGATGCTCCAAGAAACTGGCGAAGGGAGGGAGTGGATCCACAAAACATTTATTCATCGATTGAAGTATTTATAGCTCACCCATTATCATAAGGTTCTCAGGAAGAGCTATAATCCATAAAACAAGCAAAGGGAAATAAAAATAAGCAACACCTTGAAAATTTAAAACAGAAATAACCACAATGCAATAATGAAAAGAAGCTGATTTTTAGAGTGACAAAATGGCATATTTAGCCTGCCCTTGTGAAATCCCAAAAGCCACGATTTCACCTGGCATTGAAAAACGAATATTTTTGTGTGCCATCCTGTTCTGCAGGAAAAGGAATTACATAGGGTCTCAAACAAAGGACCCTTATCCCTATTACTGCATTTGATCATTAGCAACGGGAGTGGGGTGTTGGATTCCACAAACTGGTTTGATGTAAGCAGCTAAAATCCTGATTGCATGCTTCTGTTATTACCTTGGAACAACTTTTCTTTGGAAGAGTTGGTCAACTAGATGAGATCAATTTCCTGGTGGATTTCTGCTTTTCACTATTGCCTTGACAATTACTTGGGCTGAGCTATTTTGGAAAGAAGGCTGTTTCTCCTTTCCTTTCCCTTTTCATCTCCCTGAAAGCTACACATTTTCTTCTGGTTCCTTCAAACCTGCCTTGGCTTGTTTCCCTTGGAGGAATGTAGTTTGAGGAATTTTTTTTTCAGTTCCAAAAGAAACATAAAAGAGGAGGTAAAGCGACACGTTTGAACTTGCTGGGTTTTCTAACGTTAAAATTTAGATTTGCAGTATAATTGGGGTAAGAGTGGGAGAATAGCATATGCAAACATGTGTATACTTATGAAATTCAACCTACTAAAATGTATTTAACCATTTGCTTGGTTTAATAATGCAAAGTTATTATATAGAAGGCAGTTCCCCTGATTGCAGGAGGAATGAGAAAATCACAATGTTTAGTAATAGAGGTCAGCTACTCCAGTAACTGTCACCCAGTGATTTACATACTTGAATGAATTTGGTTTTTCAGTTGACTTCCTTGCGTTGTCCCCTTTTCAGACTTTAGGGAGAGTTCTGAGCTTTAATTATTTCAATTGCCACTAATTATTATTATTTTTCTACTGGATTCCGGGAAGAACCCAGAACGGCTACAAAGAGATAAGTAGAAAAATTCTACATAAAACCAACAATCTTTAAAACATTAAATTCAGAAATCTATATGTGGCTCATTTAAAAAAATAAAAGAAAAACAATTGAACACCAAATCACAACTCAGTTTGATCCTGGCACAGTTATTTCAGAAATGCCTGGGTGAACAGCTATTTGATTGCCTTCTAAAATAAAGACAGTTTAGAAATCAACTTCTCTCTCTGGGCAGAGGGTTCTGCAGTCTTCTGGTAACAAAACCTTCTACGGTATGTCTGGGAGAAAACAAGGGCATTTTTCTCCATATGTTTTATTAAACATCCCAATTAAAACAAAGCAGCCACCAAAATGAATAAGGGACAAAGACAAATAAACTCAAACTTTATTAAAAGACAGGAGTCAGAAAAGGGAGATAAGCTAGGGTGAGGGAATATATTAAATGGAATTGGGAACTCTAGCCATCCAGTTGTTATCTGATTACAGTTCCCATAGGAGAGTAATACCGAAGGGCCACAATTTGTACAAGCTTGAAATAAAATTGTCAATGGCACAAAAGCTATAGTGGGAACTTCCCTCTCTCTTTTTCTCAAAATGCTAGCATTCAGAATTACAAAATGAATTTTTGCTTGATGGTTCCTTCGGGACACACACAAGAACACAATATAATGCAGCATTGTTTTCTGGAGTTAACCAGGCCATATTTATGGGACTGAATAAAATGTTTAAGCTTTCTCCAAACAACAGTAACCTGAAGAGTATCTGAATGAGTCCCTACGTGCAAGTGCAGTGTGTCTCAGAAAGATAAAAAAACAGAAGCAAGTAAAGGAATTGCTTTTAAGCCTTGGATTTTGAAGAAGTTTTTAGCTGCTCTTGAAAATAGAATGCTGGATTAGATGGATCTTTGCTCTGATTTGCTAGATTTTCTCCTTATTAATCCTGATACTTAGGAATAGAAATCCCATGCACAGACCTCTACATCTCTATGGTGGAAAACAAATCATAGTGGAGAATTATAACCATTCTATTTTCTTGTGGATTTTCTCTGTATCTGGCTGACCGCTAACAAAATAGAAGAGTGCACTAAATAATCCTTTACTGATCTGATCTTCCAAATGGAAATTAGATATAGTTTAGAGTGTAGTTATTATGCAGCATGCTTTAAAAGCATATGCAACTACTTTGAATATTCTTGGTATTTTTCTGCATGTCTCTACAGTGGCCAAGATTAATTTTTTTCACTCATAAACTCAGCTAACGGTTACATTTCAGGTGCCAAAACAAAGTCTGGGTGTCTATTATTTTGTTTTCAAGCTTTGGCTGAGTCTTAGATTTTTCTTATTTTTTTTCCACCTTGTGTCTTAGGTTAAGAAACAAATATTGGATGAAGAAATTTACTGTTCTCCTGAGGCTACAATTTTATTGGCATCTTATGCAGTCCAGGCTAAGGTGAGGCTTTATAATTGTTAGTTTGTCACCTTTTATAACACATATGCAGAGTGTTAATTAACACAGAAAAGGATCTGCTGAGGCTTAGCTGGAAATAGGAAGTGGTATTTTTTCACCTCATCTGTCTCTATTTGTGGGTGTTTTGCAGATTTGTTTAATGAGTACACCCTGTTTAGATTTCACAGGAGGTCAGTGGATTAAATGCAGAGAGGAGACTGAGATATCTTACTTCATTTTAAACAAAAAACAACTGTGGAACAAAATGCAGTTTAGACTGCAGTGGGCATTCTGAGTACAGATAGTTCTAAACATATGACTGCTTGTTTAGCAAAGTTATGCTGGACATAGCAAACAATGGGTTTGCTTAACAACTGTGACTTTCACTTTACGACTGCAGCACACAGTTTATGAGCACCTCATAAAAGGCTGTAAAATTGATTCAGTCACATGGCTGACCTATTATACGACCATCACGACTTATGATCTATGGCACAGTCATAAGTTAGGGTCTACCTGTAAGATGGTAGTTTCTCTTTCCCATTCCCCTTTTTTCTTAATTAAAAATAATTCTCTAGCATGCATTTGAGGAATTCCTGCATAAAGTCTCTTCCTGACCTGTCCTCTTCCCTGAATCATCCTTTAGAAAGTTAAAGGGGGGCAGCTGTAACTGTGTCATCCAACCTTTCTTAGCACTGAACAGAGAGATGCTATACCCTCCCTTGCTAGTTACTGGCAGGAATCAGCCAGTTTTAGTCCAGAACTGAGACAGAGCAGATGAAATGACAGGATGTTTTGCCTTTCATTATTCCTGAATGTGTTTGGGCATATAATATATATATGACAGGAGGATGGCACCGGTCCCAGTGAGATATCATATTTGTCTCACCATACTGCTAGTGGTGGGCTAGCTATTTGGCGATGACTGGGATTAAATTGTGGAACTCAGTGGCACTACATGTTTGTTGATTGATTTATGAAATTTACACTCTGCCCCAACATGTTACAACTCTGGAAGTTTTATGAAATGAATCTACAAACAAAAAATGATCAAAAGTCTGGAAAAACAAGCAGCAATCAATGTAAAAAAAACCAACCCATAAGAACACCACAGTCTGTTGCCTACTTTGTTACCCATTCTGACTCTGGATCTTGGGACTCAGTTTCAATAGGGCTGGTGGTTTGGGGCCAAAGCACATAATGTTCAGAAAAACTTGTGAAGTATGATTTGTAAAACTGGTTTAATGATCCAGGTAGTGTATACATCCAAAAATCTATGCATTATTCAACGAACATTGTTATAGAAACTAAGGTTTACGGGCAATGTGTGAACCCAGCTTGGATGACTTGCTTACAAAGCCGTACCACTAATCTGTAGTTCTCTCTTTAAGAGGTCATTAAGATCTCCTTTTCCTAGCCATTGGTGCTTAAGCCAGAGCTAGACCCACTGCACTCTACTGTGGGTGGTGTTAACAACAAAATCAAAAGGGGATCCATTAGGAGTTATGGCATTGGATTCTTCTTGAACTGTAAACTAGTGTATATTTGGTACCAAACTGGTAAACTTTCAGGCATATTTTTTCAGTCCTAAAGGACAGGAAGGTAAAATTCTCAGGAAAATTATTTCCGGCAGGTTTTCTTTGCTCCTCGCCTTCAGATTTCACTTGTAAAAATCTTTGAGAACTTTAGCCAATTTTTAGTTGTTTTGTTTATAATCAAATGATTCAGTGTTTTATCTTTTTTTCCTTTTAAGTGTTAATTTAGATCTTATACTATGCGGTCAATTCTTTGTATACAGTCTTTTTCTGTTAACTTGTCTGATACTTCTTTCCCTCACAGTATGGTGACTATGACCCGAATATGTACAAACCAGGTTTCTTAGCTCCAGAAGAGCTTTTGCCAAAAAGAGTAAGTGTTTTCACACTTTCCTATCCGCCTGGTCATGAATAGGAATCCTCAGATACCCAAAATAGCAGAAATAGCCAGATAGGGAACAGCAGATTTGCATGACTCATAAAACAACAACTTTTCCCCAAAGACCAGATATTTCTATTCATCCTTTTATGACAGATTGTTCCTCTCTTTGTTTTCTAGAGAGTGGGAAACTTTAAAATTCTGATGTTTCTCAAGCAACTATTGGAGAATGTGAGCTCTTAGCTATGAAGGGAGGTTTATAACTCCTTCAAGGTATCTTCTCCAGGGGACTCCTGGTTCATGAGCTCAAAACTGAGTTATACCTGACTCTGGTGTTTCTATCCTGGTTTAACGTTCTTCTTCCAGATAGAATCCAGACTGCTCTTCACGAAAGGGGAATTTAGGACAAAAACAAACCGAAGTTAGCAGTGCGGTATTAAGTTACCAACAAGCTGAAAGGCTTCTACAAATGGGAGTCAGTTTGCTTCTAATCTTGCAGCATTTTAAGTCATATGTAATTCCATAGGTCCTTCCAAAACAGATCAGTTTTTCATACCTGCATGAACATCCTTCTTGAAGTTTGAAAAATAAATCTTTTTGCCATTGTTTTCTTTCTTGTTCTTTATTTTTCTTTTATCTAGGTTCTCCGTCAATATCAGATGACACCTGACATGTGGGAAGAAAGGATTACTGCCTGTTATGCTGGACATCAGGGAATGGCCAGGTACAGCAGCACTCGTTTGTTTGCAACTATAGTTTGGAAAAAAGGACTTATATCCATTAGCACCTGGTGGTTTCAGTTTGGTGTAGTGCAATGGTGGCAAACCTATGGCATGGGTTCCAGAGGTGGCAATCAGAGCCCTCTCTGTGGGCACGCATGCCATCGCCCCAGCCCTAGGCTTTCAGCTGGGTTTTATAAAACCTTTTCGCTTTAGGCCTCCACCGACGTGTGCAAAAAAAAAAAAAAAGGTTCAATCAGTGAATTTCAACTTCTCGTGGGGGAAAAAAAAGATCTTGCAAAGTTGGAATTGTTTGATTGAATTTTTTAGTCCCACCCAGTCTGCCGTTACCACTGCAGCCACGTCCACCCAATTGGCCACGCCCAGCCAATGGACCACACCCACCCGGCACTCGACGATGCATAAATGGATTTTGGGTTGCAGTTTGGGCACTCGGTTTCTAAAAGGTTCGCCATCACTGGTCTAGTGGTTAAGGCATCAGGCTAGAAACCAGGAGACTGTGAGTTCAAGTTCCACCTGAGGCATGAAAGTTGGCTGGGTGACTTCGGGCCACTCAGTCTTTCTCAGCCCAATTCACCTCACAGGGTTGTTATTGTGGAGAAAATAGGAAGAGGAAGGAGTATTAGGTACGTTCACTGTGTTGAGTTATTTATAAAAATAATAAAGGTAGGATAAAAACATAAATAAATCAGGATGTCACAATACACATTTCATGACTTTGACACTTTGCCCTTATTCATCTGGTTTTTTTCCCCATGGAACATAGTAGAAGCCAATAAGAATTTAGATGAATTATACCTTGAATTCACTTCTTGATACAAAGTTTGATCCAAACAGATGGGAACTCAGAAATGCATATTCTCTCATCACTCTGCTCCTGCTTGTTGATCTCACCTCTGGGCGGCAGACAAATTTAATAAGTAAATAAATAAATAACTGTACTTTTGTCAGCACTTCATTTAAAGTGCTGGTTTTAAGACTAAAAGCAACATGTCTGGTTAAGAATAGTCTCCTTTTTTGAGAATCTGTCCAAGTTTTGACATCACTGTTTGTGGCCTGCTCTGTCCAAAGGCTTTAGATGTTTGACAGATTGTCCCAAGAGCAGAACCTTTTGTGTAGCATTACCAGGACTTCAGAATATCCTTCCAGGAAAAGGATTTTTCAGTTGGGGATCATTCAGCTGAATGTAAAATTTTCCCAGAATATTTCCAATTTGTTTGGATGTGCCAAGTGAAACTATTTCTATGTCATGGTTGAATTTTCCATCTATTTATGTGATTTTTATAGAGGCCATAGTGCAATTTGTAATTATTATTTATTACCAATGGTAATAAAACTAGGTAAGAGTATTTCACAGTCAATAAATACAGCCTTGGGTGACAATAATACAGAACAATATATTTCCTTTATGTAGCAAGAACAATCCTTTCCAAGAGTTTTTTAAAAAATAACTATTCCATTCTTCTAGATACGAAGCCGAGATGAACTATCTTAAAATAGCACAAGACTTGGAGATGTATGGGGTTAATTATTTTCCAATTGCTGTAAGTATGTATGATTTTTAATGCATCTGATTCAGATTTTTCTGACAGTCCCAGATGTCTTGATTGTAAATCCCCTGTGCCTCAGCAGTATTGCCAGTAAAAAAAGGGGCATAACACCTGAGAGTCTCATCAGCATTGTCTGTTGTGACTTGGAGCAATTTGCCTGACTTAAAAAGTGTTCTCCATTATAAAAATGCCATGACTCTTAAGCAGATCTCTTGGTCTTACATTTTTCAATGTGTATTCATGTTAGCTAACGTAAGGGTAAATTCTAGTTTATAGATGCCTGATGTTTGACTCTTTTATATGAAGCAATGAGGAAAAAGGTGTCAAGAGGCAAAAATACTGGTCATGTACTTCATTGTATAGAGACTAGTTGAGCAGCAATGAGGATAACTGAATAAGACAATAAAATTGCCAATTAAGGCAGGTGTTTACTCCTCGATACTCCTCGACTTACAACAGTTTAGCAACTGTTCGAAGTTAGAACAGCACTGAAAAAAGAGTCACC